CTAGGTGTCCTTAATAGCAGAGGCTCAATTGAAAATGATGTGATACACTTATACAGAACAAAACTAATGAAATAGCTTCTCAATTACTTGAGACAATAATTTGTGTTCTTATTGGGAGAAGTGAAATAAAAAAAACGTTTTTTTTTTAATAATATAAGGTGGCAAACGAGCAGGCGGCCACGTGTATCCACCGAAATGGAAAGTGAACGTTTCCCATAAATCCGTAATTGCAGATGCGTTGCCTACCCTTAATTGATGGAGGACGAGACGCACATAAAGAGGACATTTCCCCTTCCTACACCGTCAAATCCAGTCTTCCTTCCCATCCTTTCGTCTTAAGAAAAGGGTGGAAAGGGTAAGAATCATCAGACGAAACGCGGAATTGCTTCCACTTCACGCTTGTTTTGTGTGGTCTTGGTATTTCACCGGGCGAGCCGGCCCATTCGTGCGAAGGTGTTAAAGCGGGCTCTACCATTGTTTAAAAATCGTGACTCGTCAAATCAAGCTTAGCAACAAATATTACCTTCTAGAACATTCGGGGTAATTTCAATATATTGACCTTCCAGGTTCATCTGCGATCATTGAATCAATCATGGATGTCTTAATTGACCTTCGGACGCGTCAATTGCTCCAAAATATTCATCAAATTCGTCTATTAAGAACTACATGTTATTGTTTCTGATTTCTTCTACGTTTTTAAATATTTTGCAGTATGAATGGAAGAAGTCTACCTTATTCCCTTTAAGTCACTACCTAATTAAAAACGATGGGACGTTGGTAAAGTCGAATTGTCACACGGGGAAATGTATAGCGTTTTATAGGAAAGTCATATAATCTTTTCTGTACATCCTCTTTTTAGTCTGTCCAAAATACTTTTTATTTCTTTTTAGCGTGTTCTCATTCTTATATACCAGATAAAAGATTGGTCTCATCTGCGTCATCGTATGAATTGGTCAATTCAATTAAGTGGTCAGAACTGACGAGTCTATTGAATACAAGTCCTTGAATTATATGCTTAAAGGTAATTTGAAATGAATCTGTTATACCAAATGACAGATTGAATAATGGCAACAATTTTGTACATCACTCACCCACGTTCAGAAAAAACACGCTCACTTGTTTTTTGTTTGTTCAATTCGTCAATCTTAACAAAAAACTTGAAGGTCGAGAAAATTACTCATAAATAATGCTAACATACTGAGAACCTATGGTAGTTATTAGCTCTTAATATTACAATTTAGTGCCCCTAATCATAGATTAAATATGCTTCATTAACCCATTGACCTTGAGAAATAAATCCGTACTATTTTATAACTATATTAAAGATATATGCCATCGCAGACTTTTCCGTAGACATTTTTGAGATCTAAAATTCTTTCATACATCATTTTCATATATCTAACGGTTTTGGCAGCGTGAGCCAAGAAAAAATGCAGTTTTTTTAACGCCGCGGTCCAGAAATATGCTGTTTATTATTATTTCCTCAACATTAGTATAAAAAAAATATATTCTATGTTACGCACAGATAAACCTTTCTATTGGTGAAAGATTTTTTTAAATCCGCCTAGTAGTTTTTGCGTGAATTCAATACATAAAAAAACACAAATCTTTCCTCTTTATAATATTAGTATAGATTTAGATTCCAAGAATTAACTCCTGTTCTTAATTAGATATTAATTATTAGGTTTAGCGACGTATATGGTTGTCATAAATTTTGTATTAAAATACACAGACAACATTTGCGCGTTCAAATCACATTTTACCGCGACAAACAATCGCCGAAAATAGTCGCAGAACGCGTGTCGAGTACTGATCGAGTGGTGCCAAGAGAAAGTTGATTCCGTCCCACTTCAACACTAACATAACATGCAATTTGTCTGCAGTAAACATGTATTAAATCTTAACGATTTTGGCAACAAGGGATAATTAATTTAAAAACAATAACACCGAGAGACTCAATTCCAATAACACACTGGGTAAATCGAATGGAGACGCCTCATCTCATTATTTCTGATATCATTCATAATGGAATAGGAATACAGCAATATCATAGATTGTTTCTAACCAAAATCCTCAGAGGGGTCAATCACGAATATTTTCGTGACAATTGCGAGAACGTATTCGTAACGTAGTCGACAAAATTTGCATAAGTTTTGTTGGTGTACTCCCTTGCGAAAACATTCAGGATAACCCTCGGAAATTTGCACCAAAATCTTGGTCCGTAAATGGTTTTCTTCAATGGGATTTTTTTATTATATAACTGACATTACCTTGTTATAAAACCAAAGTTACATAAAATAAACATCACAAATCCATTTACCTTTTAATTGAGCGAACAATAAAATTACGAGTACACAATTGTGTTGCATTCCACTGATCAAACTACAAACGTTTTCCTCACAATTATTTCATTATCCTTTAAAAGATAATCGTTGTATTGTCACATATTTACGTAATAATGGTGTAAGAAAATAATTGTTTCTTTTTTAATTTGCTCTAATTTAAAACTCGTGTAAAAAACAATAAAAAAGTATATTAATTACCTTGATTAAATCTCAATTAAAACATAAAATTTGTTATATGTTAAAGTTATTTGTGGCTACTTTTTAGTAATTTTCACACGTAGTCATTTCAGTATTAAATAATCTTACTAATATTATAATGCGAAAATTAAGATGGATGGATGGATGGATGGATGGAGGTTAAGAACACATAGGCTACTAAGTTTTGTTTTTTTTTTAATTCCACGCGGACGGAGTCGCGGGCGAAAGCTAGTGTGTAATAATTTACATTACAAATAGCAGATAAATGCATGAAATGATTACAAATAATTTCCAAATTGGAATTTCTGTAATATTTATCTTTTATGTTGCGTTTTGTAACTGACATCTATTACATTACATTTGTTACTTAACATCATGTAAGTAAATAGAATTATATCAACACTTAATAACTCAAAAAAAATAGATAAATCAGCCATGACCATACGAGTGTAGAATACTAAAATCTTCATACATTTATGTATACCAAAAACTAATTTAGAACAAAGTTAATATACCTATAGACTGGTTATACTTCTACTAGCGCCCTGGCCGTGATTGCAGCGCCCTATTTTGACCATGACTAGTGTTAGATAAAAGTATCACGTAAGAGTAAGTAGGCCCTGGCGCCCTTTTCCTTCGGCCGACCTGGACCGTCGCTCAAGAGCGTCTTACTCTAACTCCGACCCTGTCTAAACCCTCCTCAATATTATTTACTAACGATAACTTTTTTTTCCGAAGGGGAATGCGTTACGCATACTCCGTGCCTCTGAGCAGACACGTGAGTTATGTGGGACTCTCCCCCCATAGTGGTAGGCATACCTCACTAAACCCCTTCGTTCCCTCCTGGCCATTGTGTGGGACGCCACGGGATCGCTTGCGCTTGCCACCGCGACGCCCTACATGATAACTACATGATGATTCGTTAAGTAATTTTTTCGTTTAACTTCTTTAAAAAAAACTATAAAGGTTGAGAGTAAATAATATTTAAGAATACTTGAATTAGATCAATTTGTCCCAAACTTAAATTTACAATTAAACTTTGCGCATTGAAACTGTAACCGATTTACAAATATAAATGGAAACATACTCGACAGTTGTAAAACGAGCAGAATTTTGTTGATCGTTGCTGAGCTGAGAGGCATTGAAGTTTTTTTACATTGCATAATGTAGTATTTTTCCACGACAACCAAATCAAATATCTGTCGGTAAATTAACATAAGGAAGTTATGTAAGTTATCGTCTAGCTTAGACAAGGAATAGGTCACCTTGGTGAACGGTGAAGTCGAGGGAACCAGAGGGGGTTTAGTGGGTAGGCTTTACGTTCCTTCCCTTTTGGGCAGAAATGTGGAGAGAGTCCCACATACCCTGTGTGTCTCTCCCCAAGGCACCTGGGATGCATAACGCATTTCCCCTCTTAAAAAAAAGAGGAATAGGTCACCTTGTTACGTTGTTCCAGTGAAGAGTGTGAAAATCAATTCTGCTTTTTATTTTGTCTGTACTGCTTTTGTTTTGTACTAAAAAGAATTTTAAAGCCTTTCTGGCAAAGCAACTAAGGCTATATTTTGTCACACATAACTAATACTCTTAAAATCTCCTGAGCTAATCATAAAATATTGTCCAGTTGAAATGCTTCAGATTCTTTTTTAAAATGGGTTAATAACTTACTGCTATTCATATTTCAAGCGCATTTTACTTATTCGTTAAATTAAGGAGTTCCTTTGTTTTAGGATTTACTAATTTCTTTTTTTTTGACGTTTTACAGTGTAGGAAAACATCGAGATTCAACGCGCACATATATTCCGAAAAAAAATCAAAGATATGTAAATTCAACAGTTGGCCAGTGTGGACTACGGCTTAGTCACCCCAAGTTGCGTAGGCTCGTTGTGGACATTTATAACAGACGACGAAATTAATGTTAAGACAAATAACGGTTTTAACAACAGTGGGTAGATTACGTTTCCATTTTCAAAATTAACGCATCTTCTAGATTATTCTAATAAGAATTTTGATCAACAAGTCGAGATGTTTCTCAACAAGTTCAAAGTGTTTCCACAAGCGTTACTATGTCATTAATAAATTCAACAAATTGCACGTTCTCGAAGTCCGTCGGCAGCGGTATTGTGAAACTGCTGTTTCGCGTATTACAACAAAAAAAAGTAAGCGCGGATTATATGACCTTTATAAACACGTATCCGTTCTTTTATTTAATCTTTAAACAGGTATATCGCGTTAAAACCAAATTTATGTTACGTTGCAAGTTAATAAATATTTTAACTTAATGTTTTCACTTAACACAGCAATCGGAAATTGAGAATATAATATTTCTACTTTCATATACTTAAGAGTAGCACTAGGTATTCTTATTTAAGTAACTATTTAGTTTACAAAAAATATATACTAATCAAGTAATTTCATAAATCGTTGACTCAAGAAATAAGTAAATGATTTAAAACTTACCCGATTGGAATGCTTGGAAAAGTAGAATAGAAAACACTAGTATTACTGTCAACATTTTTCAAGAAATACCAAATCGTGCACTTTCAACATGGAATTAAAATTCAGAACCGTTTGCATCGTGTAGTCGTTTGAAATATAAAAAAAAATAACAATCAAGATCACAGGCACAGTTATGTTAAACACAATAAACTGAATGGAACTGTTGAAATTTTGTACACAAAAATAACAGTTACGATTCGAAGTTTATAAGAGAGTTACGTATAGGCACGTTTGGAGTCATGGCGGTAAAATGCGGCACCGCCACGCACGTCAGCGACACACGGCGGGTAAACTCAAACTGACACTCAGTCGGTTCGGAAGAAGTCGCGCTCGGTTGCGTGTTCACTCAGCTCCCTCTATAAATAAACGGCGAAAGGCTTCGCTATTTGTAAGCCGTATTTTATGGCGCCAGCAATTTAATTAAGCTTGCTAGATACTTATAAATCTATTGCCAAGTCTGTTAGATACAAATTATGTCTAGTTTATGTCTCTATTATTTCTCATTAGGCGCTTTTTTTGAGATCTTGCCCTTTTTTACTGGAAAAGTGAAACTTCTAAAAGATCAATTAAGCGTAGCAAAATATTAATGAAAATGTTGGTGGCAAGATAATGAGAAACTTCGGCAGCGCCGTTATAAGCGCTTCAGGGGTTAATTTGTCGCTAAACATACTACTTAGATGTAACTTAAATGTAACTTGATCAACATATTCTATACTAAAGCTATAGGTCTTTTGTAGATGATTACTATAATTTTCATTTATAAACTACTATTATTAATATCCATGGTATGACAATTTACTACAGTTGGTAACGAGTTTTTTTAAATAATAGATTCATTCAAATAATTTCAAGAATTGTAACTTCGTCATTATAGGTGCGTAATAAAACTCCAAAACATAAATGCGTGTTGAATAAATGGGTGCCGCATTTTGTTATAGACTCAATGTGTCCTTGAAGGTGTTTCGTGACTACAGAAAATAAATTTAAATAAACAACGTTTCAACTGAAACGCAGTTGTGTCAACAAGTCAACAATGAAATTATGTATCAGACGCGGATGCACACGGACGCACCGGAAACAATGTCGTCTTTATTTAACTACTTGATTAAATTGCATTGTTAATCAATTTCAGACCATTCCTTTGTTTGTTAACTTTATTGTGGTAAAGTTATGTTGTTAAGTGTCTAGACATTTCGATAAAGTATCTATTAAAAAATTAATTTTAAGAATCGTTCCCATAAAGAGAAGGTTTGTTCCTTTGTTTGGGTAATGAGATAATGCAGCATTTGATAGAGAAATTTCAATATAGTTATTATTTAGCATTATTTTAATCTTTCATCTTTTACCGGGTAAATGTTTAATTTGTCACCAATACAATATGGTGAATATGGCATGGCAAGAATAACGAATGACCAGTGCTAAAAAAACGTGACGTTTCAATGTCAGATGTCAGCTGTCAGTTGATAATAAATGTCAAATTCTTTACATTTATGTTTGTAAATATTTGGTTGTGTTTGTTTTTTATTATATTTGTATTTTATTATGACAGATTATTTAATTATGTATAAGTGAAAAGAGTTCCTAAAATTACCAAACTATATCTTGTATTAATTATTTGTAATTTGGTAACTTAAAATGGGTTTGAAAAACACGACTTTCAATGTTTTTCTAAGTTGTTGCGTTAATTCCTTTTTAATGGAAATATTGATGGCAAAAGCGCCTGAATGTGCCAACTTTGTTACGTTTTTGCAATTCTTATTCATATCAATACAGGGATTTTTATTTAGAACATTTAATGTGGTAAGTAATTTTTATATTTGTCGTCTAATTATTTTACTCGTAGGGAAAATTTAATCTGTAATATCACATAAAAAAACCGAATTATCGTTAGCATTGAAATTTTTATCTTAAAGACATAAAAAAGAAAGTTTAATATTGAGTTTAATGTTGTGAATTGTTGAATGTTGTTGGTAGAGGTAGACCTAGAAAGAGATGGATGGATTGCGTAAAAAGTGACATGGTCAAAATCAAAAAGGGAGTGATGACTGAGATGACGTATGATAGAGTTATGTAGAGGACAAAAACCTGTTGCACTGACCCTACGGGAATAGAATAAGGAGAAAGATGATGAACCTATATTTGTCATTTTCATTTAAACTATTAACTTTTCAGTTTAATCCCAACATTCCATTCAAGAGTTATTTCATATTAATTGCTTTATTTTTTGTGACGAGTGTGGCTAATAATTATGTATATGCCTTGCATGTGCCATCTACATTACATATGATAATAAGGTAAGTTGATTAATATCCATTTATAAACAAAATTATATCCTAAAGTTATGATAAACTTTAACGGAAAGTTCAAAATCTATATATTGGTACTTGTGCTTTTAAAATATATAACATATAGTCAGAGAATTACATTTGCTGCCTACTTAGATTCCAATAATATAGAACAAACTGTTTTTTAACAAGTTTCCAATTCAACCAACCTTTGTGACAAAATGTGTGGAAATAAATGTCCTTTACTCTAATTTTTTTTTTCAGATCTGCATCATCTCCTGCAAGTATGTTAGTCTCATGGTATGCCAAGAATCGTGTCCCCAAGCTGACCGCTATTATTGGTTCTATTCTGATCAGTATGGGAGTGGCATTAGCGATGTATGGTGGTGCGACAGTAGTAGAAAATAATGGAACTTTTATACATTGGTGCTTTGGTATTGTTATATTGCTATCAACATTAATATTGGGAGCATTTACTGGACTGCAACAGGAAATTTTATATTCCAGTTATGGAAAGCATCCTGATGAGGTAAGCAGTGTAAGACCAGTGGTTCCACTACCAGCTATATGTCCCCACCGAGGGGCTCGGAGCCTACCTTAAATTAGGGTGATTAGGCCATAGTCAACCTTGCTGGCCCAGTGCGGGTTGGTCGACTTCACACATATCTTTGAATTTCTTCGCCGATATGTGCAGGTTACATCACGATGTTTTCCTTCACCGTAAAAACGTCGGGAAAATTATGTACATATGAAAATTCGAAAAATCGAAAATCACATTGGTACGGCGGGATACAATCCCAAGACCTATAGATTACAAGTCAAGTGCTTAAACCACTGAGCCACCGACGCTCACGCTTTTGTGGTTAGTTAATGTAATTGGAAACTAAAAAGAAAACAGACTTACAAACAAAATACACTAAAAACAAAATATTCTCAAAAAAAACAGTACACTAAAAAATAATGAAAATAGTAAACCTACCTTATTGTAGCTGTTATGTTTATATTGTACAATTATTATTACCAGTATTTTTAAATTTGTTAATTTTATTAGGAAATTTAGTATCAATGCTTTCTATTAGTTTACTTTAAAATGAATAATAGTGTAATGAGTAAAATAATTTTGTAAACTCAAAAATAATCGACCGATTTCAAAAATTCTTCTACTCTTAGAAAGCTACTATATCAGCGATTGATTATTTTTTTTATACCAAGCAGTCCCACTCAAAAGCTAATTTAATATTTGTTTAATATTTTTCAGATGCTGTTCTTCACTCATTGTATACCCTTACCCTTGTTTTTGACAATCTACCTGCAGTTGAAAAATATTGCCTTTTCTATGTCTAGTTATTTGTGGTTAATTCTTGCATTGAACATTGTATCTCAATTCTTCTGTGCTCATTCCGTCCACGATTTAGCTACGAAGGAGAATTCTGTTACCGTTACATTTATATTGACAATAAGAAAATTTATATCTTTGTTATTATCTAGTGTAGTTTTTAAGAATAATTTGACAATTTTACACGTGTTCGGAACTATATTAGTTGTTGTTGGCACTTATATTTATTTTGATTGCTTTAAAAGCAAGAAGCAAAGACCGGTTAGTTTGAAAAATGACTGATATTAGGCTGTGAATTGTCTTCTGATTGTTTTATAGAAATATTTCCTCAGTGTGGTAGTTTTTTTTAATTATTTTAATTTTATAGAAAAATGTAATTAAATGTTATTGATATTAATTTGATTAGTAGCAGTATAATTCGTTATTTAGTGAAATATACAGGTTTTTATGTAGTAAATGTTACATAATTGTGAATCTCTTATAACATTTGATGAAATATGTGAAAAATCCGTCCAAAAGTAGTTTTAAAATCATGTATTTACTAGAAATTATTTACAATCTCTGTATCAATTAGTTTTAGATCATTTTAAATAAAACATGAAATAATTTATTAACATATTTATTGCTTAAAAGTATCTTAATATAACAATATTGCAATTAAACAAAACTCATACTCTCATGAAATCTGACAGCTTTTATGCACAATTTTATTTACAATAAAGACATGAATTGGAAAATCATTCCAATATTAATTTAAATAAACATCCTGATCCTAATGTAATACTAAATAGTACATAAGTTAGCTACTTTTTACAACCTTAGCTGCAGCAATTTATCCTAAAGATGTAACCCACATTTTAAGCTGTCAGTACTATTAACTAGAGTTTCAATGTGTTGAAATATTGCATTATTTTACAAACTATGTAAACTGTGATGAAAACATCCTGAACTACTAACAGAAGGGAATTAAAACGATATTCCTATGTTTATGATTTAAACTAAATGTCACAAACTCACACCACTATATACGAAACATTTTTATAATCAAAGTTTACTCAAGTTCCTTGCATCCAAATTGGATCAGCGTCTTGTTGAAATATATTCTCAATATCTGTAAACAAAAATTGGAATTTATTTTAAATGTCACGTTTAGTACAATTTTTTATTAAATTCTCAACAGTTAATCTTACTAATATTAAAAATTAAGTTTAGATGGATGGATGGATGGATGTTTGTTAGCGTTTGTAGCCTAAATGGCTGAACAGATCTTCATGAAATTTGGCACAGGTTTAGATCATAGTCTGGAAGAACATATAGACTACTTTTTATCCCTGGAATAGTTACGGTTCCTGTGGGATTCATTTAGTTTTTTAATGTTTACTCGATCATTCTGCAACGGTTCAACATATCTTATTGAAATTTGGCACAGATATAAAACAAAGTCTGGAGTACACGTGAGATAAGGTTCATCCCCGAGAAATGTCCGGTTCCCGAGGGATAAGTAGCTTTTTGTAATTTTTATAGTTTGTATGTTTTCTAATACCACGCGTACGAAGTCGCGGGCAACAGCTCGTATAATTATAATTTTGACATTAAATTATTGTCAAGAATTTAATGAAAGAATGTTCCCCATTCCATGACAAGTGTATGGTAGAAGTAACAAACACATATCAGTCATGGTATGGAGGTATCTTGCTGTTGCACACTTATGACTCAAGCGTTCCACATTGATAATGAAACGGATCTAAGGAGCGTGCAGATTTAAATTTACGATTTTTTCCCTTCTTTTAACTAATGAAGAAAGACTACCAGTTAAATGCAGTCTAGGTATGTAGTAATGAATTAAACATACCAAATTAGACAATTATAACAGCAGTAAGCCTATTATGAACTAGCTTTCACCCGCGACTTAGTCTGCGTGGTGTTCAGAAAACTAAGTAGCAAATGTGTTCTTCCAAACTATCCTATAAATTTATGCCAAATTTCATCAAGATTCATTCATCAGTTTTGGCTACAAAATCTAATAAAAATCCATCGAAACTTTCGGATTGAATATTAGTTTATGAAGATATATAGAAAATCAAATAATGTTAATTTGATGTGTATTACAGAGATTTTAATACATGTATTTGTGTTTATTTACCTGTTTTTGCTTTCAGATCGGCTGCGTCGTTCGCGCGAGCGGGACCTGCGCGGCGAGGGCGAGCGGCGGCGCACGGAGGGCGAGCGGCGCGGGGACACGGAGCGCCCGCGGGAGTACGACCGCCGTCTCGGGCTTCGGCTTCGCGTTCTATAGTACAACGTGCGAGTTATTTTATTTCATTGAACTATTTTCATGTTTTTGTCGTTCTTTTTAAGTCACAGAATAGTTTGTTTTCGTCAGGTAACTCGGTCAGTATAGATTTATTTTATTGATTGGTTTGAATTGTTCTGGAGATATAATCGATGTGGATACAACAAATTAGTTTTATTGGGATATTACTTGTGACAGTCGCCGATTAAATGTAAAGTATTTTCTCACAAAATCAGTTTACGAATCAATCGAAATTACTGCTTTAATTTGATTTTCATCATAGATCTTGAACGTAATTGACTGTAACGAGTTTTTCGCCATGTTTTACTGAAATCTCAAAATACTTAATCTATTTTATACTTAAATTAAACATCCAAATATAGCACATTGAAACACCAACATTTCATAGCATGTCTAAGTAGGTAAACATTAGGTAAGGCAGTGCTAAGTATAGGATTTAAAAAGTACCGAGACTTGATGAGCCTGCGAGGGCCGCCGGGCGGTGTGGCGCTGCTGTGAGGCCGAAGGGAGTTTGAATACCGAGGCGGTGAAGTTTCAACATTATCTTCTAAATGGTGACCATAAGAAGTTTTGACAACAAATTGTTGAAACGGAGAGAGCTGATCGCCATATAGGTGGTATTTCTAGCCGGTGCCTCGGTGACGACGCGTGTGTGCAGCAGATTGCAGTGAAGCATCAGGAGTTGCAATGACATTCAGGATTGTAGGTTCGTATGCTATGTGGCTCGTCAGTGGTTATCGTTCAGGTTTCGGAGGGTGTAGGATCAGGTGATGGCGGTCGAGAGGATAGATATGGGGAGGCAGTTGTTGTAGACTTCAGCTGCTCGCAGACGGTTGGAGAGCCGGTCGCACAAGTCGAGCGGGATGTTGCGAGCGGCGTTCGCGGATGTCATATTTGTATACAAGCCGTAGTTGTGGTGAAGAGATGTGGTGAGGTCGTTGGTGTGTTGGTGGTTGGTTGATAAAATGGACCTGTAAACGTTCCAACACCCACCACATTAAATAACTTCTTTGTCATTACTATAACTACCAGTAATTTTCAATACATATTTTTTTAATTTTGTGAAATCTATTGTTATTACAACAATATCCTCTTTTAATATTACGATATTTAAAAGTGTACATTACTTTTAAAAAGTGAACAAGTGAATATAAGACATTGGGGATCAAAAATATGCACATTAGAGGTAAAGTTATTAAAAGACAATTAAGTAATGGTCATTTTAAATCAAAACGGTGGTTATTACTTAATTAGTAAATTGCATTAAGGGAAGCCTCATATAGGTAATTCATGTGTAAGTAGCTTAACCTCATCTAGTATTAGTAATCTATCCAAAATACCTGCGATCTCTTCTTGTACGGCCATTGGACATCTCAACACGGATACGAGTTCCACAGCAACGTCTAAAGTAGAAATATAAAATTGTATATTCATTTTAATCAAAATGGTTAAAGTGCATGTACTTTTTTATGTTGCACTACAATATTTTCCTACAAGAACTCACCATTTGGTAGCACTAAAGCCTGAATACTAAAACAAATCTTAAACATTTCACTTTGTTAGTGCCACTTACAATCAGACATATAAAATAATCCCTAATCAAATTTGGATTTTAAGCATTGCCTTTTTATTTAAGATGTTATTATAAATTATGTTGTAGTATTCATTTAGAAACCTGTTAAAAAGTTTAATGAAAGAATGTTCCCCATTCCATGACAAGTGTATGGTAGAAGTAACAAACACATATCAGTCATGGTACGGAGGTATCTTGCTGTTGCACACTTATGACTCAAGCGTTCCACATCGATAATGAAACGGATCTAAGGAGCGTGCAGATTTACAATTAAAACTCTAATTGAAGAAGACTGTATTGACTTGAATCTACATACATTATTTTTAATAAAACAATTACTACAAATAAAATTTCTATCATATTTCCCGTTTAGGTGTAGCTATGTACACATATTGAATTTTATTATAGAATTAAAAAAAATGAAGTGTTTTGTAAAATAGCAAAGAGTAAGTCAATTGATATCAAAATGGCGGACGCAGATAAAAATAAACATCTGCAAATGTACAACGAAATACAAAATATGGATTACTTACGTTCCATCTAGTCCTCGAACTGAATCTTCTGCATCTCGAGGATCCTCAAATTCAACAAATGCAAATCCTGGTGGATTTCTGGCCACCCACACGTTCCTTATGTTACCATACTTAGAAAATATTTTTTCAATTTCGTATTTTGATGCATTTGTGCCAAGATTTCCAACATATACTTTGCAGGATAAATCCCATTCGCGGTAGCGTGACATCTAGAAACGTCGACCAAAAATCAAAATTAGAAACCACGTGCCGCCATATTAGATCAATAATTTTATCAAACTCAACAGAGATCTAACAATTGGAATAAATACCTTAGCTTACGTAATTTAAAGAGTTAATGATACGGTTTGATAGTTGTACACAAAAGCGTAACGATTTTATAATTATTTATAACTAAATTATTGATAAATTAGAAATAACACTTAAGTTGGTCAGCTAGCGTCACCAAAATCTCATCACAGATTAAATAAAAATTAAGACAAGACGAACATTAAAGCCAGCTAACAAACAAGTGTTGCCAACTATATCCGAGGAAGTCAGCAAATTAAGATCGTTTCGTGGCGCAAATCATGTACTTTAGTTGTCTTTATTCAAAAAGCTACGGATTTAAGTTGTTTTATTCATAAAAAAAATATTACAATTAAAAGTGTTTTTTTACAGTTTTATTACTCTTACTCTTTGTCAGACACAGACATTGTGTCACAATTTCATTGTTGTGTGCCAAACAGCTGATGGTCTTTGTGATTGCGAATTATTTTTAGATTTATAAAAAATAAATGAACTTAAGTAAAAATGGATGTCGTGGGCCTTTTAAATAATATAAATGATAAATCTGATATGTTTGCTGTGAAGACGTGGACAGCGGAATGGTCAAGTAATTTTCAAGAGAATCAAGTAAGTTTCAATATTGATTTTTATTCTTTTCGACATCTAAAGAGTATCTATAATATTCGGTCGGATTTCGTTTTTTAAAACGTTAAGTACAACAACCCTTCCTGTATTAGGTAACTACCTGTTTAATTTTAGAAATCAATACCCTTGAGAATTATCGACTAATCGTGAGTGAGACATCTCATGGATATGTGATGTACAATAGAAACTTACGCTTTATAAAATTCTGTTTATCTGACTAGCTGGTTTATTAACTATATTGGATTAAAAAAAACAAAACCATTTTTAAGTTGCTTACACAATGAGTTTTTAACTTTCATTCAAATATGTCTGATACTAGTAACCTATCCCTGCTTTGTTTGTATAGAGTGTTAAATAGCTTGTTAAAAACTTTATAGACTTCAAAAGCAAAGTTAGAAGTTAAGCCAGTTAGCTAAGAGAAGACTGTAATACACTATGTGTTAAATACAGAAACATAATTTAAATATGTACCGGCATCTTAAATTATAAGAATACACTTAAGTTAAAATTAACATTTTGACTTCTGTCATATTGTAAGCAGCAGAAGAAGCTAACTGTTTAAGTTTTTTTTTAACATACATCCAATAATTCAACATTTGGTCATATTTAATACCATGTAAGCATGGATGAGAAGAATGTAGAAGTATGAAATGTGTAACAGAATCCGACAACAAAAGCTGTAACTCTGTCTACCTCTCTATGACTTGTTATAAGACACATTTATATATAGTAATTGCAATAATTTACTGCTTTAATAACTTTACAAAGAATAATATATGTTTCCAACTTTTTCATTTATTCAACAGCTGTTCTCATTCCATTTGTTTTCTTCAAAACAAAAAAAAAATGGTCTACACCTAACAGTAATGTTAAAATAAATAAAAGGCTTTTTTTTTCTATTTGACACAAATTTTGCACATAAATATGATGTGTTGTATTGCAGTGTTAGATTTTTACGTAATCCCCATGTTAGCATTGCAACAGTTCTGTTTGAAAAGTGGCGTAAACGCAAGGACTACCGGTCCGCGCCGCGGTCAGTGTCGCGTAATTCTAAATTCAAACGGTCGCGTTCGAGCGCCTGTTCTAAATTCAAATGTTTTGCAACAAAATGCTGTTTATGGTATGAAAAAATTAGCGGAAAATGTTTCTGGTCTAATTTTTTTTTTGTAGAAAAAAAATCTAATTCAATATATCTTTACAGTGTTAAAGAATCTTTCATTTATTAGTTAAATTTAAATCGAAGGGTAAACATTTTTTGAATTGATAATTTTTTTATACATTCGAATTTATTTTTGGTATTACAAAGTTTATGTGAAATCTGACTACGTATTAATGTAATACATAATTGTGATTCTACAAAAGGAATTCAATTGTAAAATTTCAGTCATTGTTAGTCTTTGAAAAAAAGTTAAAACAATGATAAAAACTGTTTATTTATATTTTTAGGCCACAAAATTTATATTATTCTGGGAACAAAAGATAAATTGATAATTATATTGTTAACAATATAAAATAAATGCCCCCCAAGCTAAATTCTCATGCAAAAACACACTTCAACATTTTTTTATCTTAAGACATGTAATGCAAAGAAAAACATCTATTGTTTCATGCATAATGTAGTGGGTATCATTTTGCAGTGTTTGTAAACAACATTGTCAATGAGTGCTATGTTAATATGCATTCTATCCTATCCACGCTTGTTATACGTTGTTAGGCCTCTTGTAGACGAATGATTTCATATCTACAATCAGAAATAATTTAAAAACCGTGCTTATAGTGAAAAAGTGGTAATAAAACGAAACTTTTTCTTAATATTTTTTTTTAATCCAAATATATTTATTTCTCACTCTAGTAAAAGAACTGTAAAGAAATAAAACACTGCTTACTACTAAATATTACGTTAAAGCAAAAAATATTGTGAAAAAACATCGATTTTTTACTCTATCTATTGCGTTTTGTATCGTTTGTGAGTATCCTTAGAGATATAGTTTCGCGGAAGTGGTCGCTTGTAGTTCATTGTCTAGATATCGAGATATCCACGCTTCTGTATTGACCAGTTTTTATCTTACGACCTTGGTTAGCAAAAAAGCAACCGAAACTCAACATTTTTCCTTTCTCAGTAGCAACAAGTCCTCTTCTTAATTTTGCTTTATTTTAAAGTTTATGGTAATTTATTTAAATCCAAGAGTGACTATCGATGAATAGATTTTTTTGTTTTATTGTTTAACATGTTAAATGAAAAATGTTCGTAAATAAAAATAAATTAATATTGAAATTGAAATGTAATACTTTGTGTACATTTTTGCACTATATTTTTTTAAATGTAGTACTTTTCTTTAATGGCAAAGGTTTAATAAAAAAATGTATTGTAAAATTTTTTCTTGTCTGTTTTCTTGTTATATTCACTCTTGTCATGTTTATTCAATTATATTGACTATCGCATGTAAATTGATTTCTCAGGGCTTACCGTGACTTCCTTAACGCAATTGTTTCAGAATTTAAAAAAAAATCACTTTTATATCCTCATGCTGTTTTATTTCTATTAGCATAGGCAAACGGATTTTTTAAATACGTGTAGTTGAATTAAAATATTATATCGCGTTGTTATAAAAAAAGGTTGCAGGTTGAGTGACCAATCAGGGAGAATTGTGTCATGGAGTTTATAATTTTATTACACATATTAATGCTATAAAATAATAAATTGCCAAGTTTTATGAGCAATGCTGTACGAAATTATTCGTTTAGAATTTTAACAAACTCGATATTCAATACATTATGCAGTTGTCGGAAAAAATATTTTCTACGCCCTTTTCCCTTGGCGTTTATACAATTTAAAAAAAGATATGTTCACTTATACTTAGTTAAATACCGGAAAACAATCACGGTCAATGATTTTTTCAAATCTGAAAAAAAAAAAAAATTACTACATGTATCCATGATTTAGTGGCAAACCTTCTAGTTTATGAACGTGACTTCTAATATTTTTGTGCAATAATTTTTTTATAGTAATCATTACCACGTGGTATTTCGTATTGTTTTGAAAGTTATTTGCGTCATTGTAAACAGTCGCTTCGTTTGTCACGTGTAGTGAAGCATGTATTCAATTCAAGCAAGATAATCAGAATGTGATGCAAATGTTTTTAACTATTGTTGCTTGTCTATCTTTACTTCTATACTAAAAAATAGCTTATTCAAAGTAATCTTTACATCACTGTAACTTATTGCAATTATTAAAGTTTGTCTGTATTTTTTTCAGTTACTATGGTCTTTCTGTGGATGCCTTCTTGTATCGCTACTCGCCGTATTCTTCTATTATTATAAAAGATGGCGATTAAAAGGTATTTTCTATTACTATTTATAATTTTAAAACGTTCTTGATATTAGAAATGATAGGAAATACAATATCTTAATAGACATTTAGCACGTTACGAAATATATTCGAATGGTAATGTGTAGACCATGACCCGCTTTTTAACGATAAGATAATTTTACTAAAACTTTAAAAAGTGGTAATATTTGTCTATTATGTCCTATTTAAATTATATACATATAAAAATGCTAGCTTTCGCCCGCGACTCCGCGTGGAATTAAAAAAAAAACAAAAGTGAGTAGCCTGTGTATTCTTCCAGACTATCCTCTAAGTCAATGCCAAATTTCATCTAGATCCGTTTAGCCGTTTAGGCTACAAACTCTAACAAACATCCATCCATCTAAACTTTTGCATTTATAATATTAGTAAGATTATCTTTTAGAAGAAGGATAGTCTAACCACGATATTTCTACAATTGATTGACGATAGTAAAAAAAAAATCAAATTTGAGAATATAGCGCCTCCTTTCTAATTACTAACATACATTTCTCATATAAAATTCCACTAAAGGAAAACACTATGAGTGTTTTAAATATACAGAATTGTCTGGTGGTACTGGCACCATTGACGCTGCTGGCGAGCCAGCGAAGAGGTTCCGGAAACGAGACAAGATGCTGTTCTATGGGCGGCGTATGCTGAGAAAGGTCAAATCAATCTCCAATTCCGGCCAGGGTCGGAAACGACGTGCTGTTATGCGCTTTGCAAGGAAACTGTTGCAATTAAAAAAGGAATCAGCACCCGAACAACTTAAGGTATATAAAATTTCTTATTCATGATTGACAAAGGTAAATAAAAAAAGTGTATTTATACAGTTTTAATGTCATGAGTAAATTAGCATTTTTCCTTGATGTCCGATTTAAATATGATAATCACGTTACAGACGTATATGCAAAATTAACTAATTATCAATTCATTTATATACAATTTGTCAAAACGTTATTCTAAACGGTAAGATGTTCTAGAATCTCTAATTTCTTCATTATCTACGTATGTAAAACTAAATATCTATGGCTGCTTATACCTTAATTATACTCAATGTACTTCTTACTAATGTTCCAAACGCAAAGTTAAAACAATGATACAACGGATTATTCCCAACCGTCACCTCGCTCTGTCCCCACCTGAGAATGAAACGTTTCATCCGTCCCACTATCACCAATAAAGTGACAGATAGAACTGTTATGAAATAAAATAAGTACCAACCGTCCCCTCGTCGCAAGAGGGGGGGGACAGAGAGGAGTGACGGTTGGGAATAATCCGTAACAACCACCTAACTTCAAAATACAGTGGTAGTGCCCGCTTTAACATCATCGCACTAATAAGTCGGCTCGCCCGGTGTAATACCACGACCACACAGAATACAGGCGTGAAGTGGGAGCAATTCCGCGTTTCGTCTGATGAGTGTAGTGCCGGATGCCCAACTTTAGTCCATCTAGAAAAGAATGGGAAGGGAACTTGGATTGGGAGATATGCTTTTTAGCTTCATCTTCTCCTCCGTCGATTAAGGGTAGGCAACGCATCAATAAATCTAGGGCTTTAGGTCTAAACACTTAAAAACAAATTACTCCTTAGGTGTTAGAACCGCCAGCGGAATATTTAGAGGAAGATCTAACGAGTGACGACCGCGTCCCTCCAGACGCTCTCTACATGTTGCACAGTATCCGAGTGTTCGGTCACTTTGAGAAGCCAGTGTTTCTCATGCTGTGCAAACATACAGAGATACTTAACCTGCCAGCTGGAGCCTTCCTGTTTAAAGTTGGTGAGTAGTTAAATTGTAGGCTTTTTAAAAAAGATAGCGATTAATTTTTACAACGCTCCACCACACTTCGGAATAAATTTTACCGGATTTTTGCTGGCAATGTCTTGGTTATTGTCATAAATGGAATATTCCGTTTAGTATTTTTTTGTCAGTTATTGTGGTTTTTATGTTTATATGTTATGTGACGTGTAGGCAAATCAATGATCAGGTTACAAAAACATTGGAACCACGAAGTTTTTATTATGAAAACTTTGAAATTGTTTGGTGAATTTATAGTGGTGACCACATGCTAGTGGTAACCGCCCTGGGCGTTAAACAGAAAGTGTCGCCAAAAGTTGGGAATCACATGTCCACCTTTACTGTACCAATACTAAGAATTGTTATAAGTTGCCAGGGTCGGTTTTTCAAGGTTTTTCAAGAATCAACGTGTATTAATTAGGCTAGCTCTTACTATCTTTCGATCACATCACTCTTATTAGGTAAGATCGTGGTCAAGCGCTAACTTAAAAAACAAAAGAAAATGCCACAAAAATGTTAAACGAGGTACTATAGAATTAGTTGCGCTAATCATACATCTTACGTCTTACAAATGTTATAAATGCGAAAGTTTTGATGGATGGATGTTTTTTAGAGTTTGTAGCCTAAACCGCTGAACGGATCTCGATGAAACTTGGCATAGATCTAGAGCATAGTCTGGAAGAACATATAGGCTACACACTTTTTATTTTAACTCCACGCGGACGGAATGTTAGTCGAAGTTTATTTTCTTATGTGAAGGTGACACGGACGAGAACGTATACGTGGTGCAGACTGGGCGTGTCAACGTGTATATTACTAACGCGGACGGCAGCAGTCTTTCTCTCAAGGTGGTCCGCGCCGGAGAGAGCGTCACTTCATTGCTCAGTTTTACTGACGTCCTTACGGTAATTTGTCTAGACTTTGTCATCTTATATTGTAGGTTATCTTTACCTGAACTTATCTTACTAAGTAAGTGGTTTTTGTCCTCCATTTAAACTAATTGTCTACATCTCAGTCACTCTATTCTTGATCACGTCTTTCACGTACACACGTCTTTCAAAGTACGTCTTTCGCGTACATTCATCTCTTTCTAGGGAAAGAGATAGATGTACGCGAAAGACGTACTTTAGACCGGTAAAGATAGTAGGCCTATCTCTACCGGTCTATTATATTGTTAAAGAAAATATACAGTAATAAAAAGTAAGAAATGTCAGTTTGTAACTAATAAATCTTACTAATATTATTAGATGGATGGATATCTATTAAAGAGTTTATAGCCTAAACGGATCTCGATGAAATTTGGCATAGACATATGTACATAGTCTGGAAGAATACTAAGATACTACTAAGATTTTTTAATTCCGCGCAAACAAAGGCGCGGGCGATAACTCGTTATGTAATCAAGACTAATTAAAAATGATATTTCCTTCCAGGGACACTCTCAACCTTATAAAACAGTGAATGCAAAAGCATTAGAAGATTCTCAAGTGATAAAACTACCAATGCGAGCTTTCCAAGAAGTTTTTAAAGAGTATCCTGATATATTTGTCAGAGTTATACAGGTGATTGCACCGTTTATTGATTACTTAGTGCAAGGAAATCCGAAGGATACAAGTTATATGTTTGTTTCAGATAATCATGGTACGACTTCAACGAGTTACTTTTACAGCACTTCATCAGTATTTGGGTCTCAGTGCTGAACTGGTCAATCCGGTATGTTGAAGATTTTATTTTATACTTGTATTGTAAATAATCATATGATAAGGTGGCAAGCTAGCGAGCAGCGATGGATTCGCCGAAAAAGCGAAGCGGTCGCTGCTGCTTTAATATAACGAATTCAAAAAAAATTTTTTAGAGATTTTTTAAATCAGTGCAGTTTAAAAAATCTAATGTAATTTGGAAGATACATTCTTAGTCAGTAAAAGTCGCGGACAAAAACTAACTTAATAAATGGCTTTCGTGAATACGTCTAAAAATTTTTAGTGAATAATTGCAGTTCAATTATTGGTTACTTTACCTCATTCTTGTATATGTATAAATTTCCAGGGTAAAGACAAACGACGTCCAGGGACAGTGTCCTCCCCTGGCAAGTCCAGTAAAGTGGTACTGGTGGACAGTGGTACCACCATGCACCCACAAAACACCCACTCCACTCAGTCACCGCATCACGAACGAGCCGATCACATGGTAAGTGTTATAAAACTGTGGGCTTTTATTGCAGGAACTTATTTATGCAAAAAAATGTTTTTTTTTTGACAAAAAAAGAGATAGCAATATGACTTTGTACGGCAAAAAGTAAATAGACTAACTAGGCAATATTCTGATGTTCATCTCTAGTATTAATAATCTGTTTAATGAGAAAATACAAAAAATCACAATTTTTTATTAATTTCGAATTTCTCATATCATGTTCACTCCTAAATTGTTAAATTATCCCTTACATTTACCCCTAATGATAGTAAATAACTTGTCATGTGACATGTGTGACAGGAGGGGGGGCACCAGACCTCCTCCCCCATACACATCCAGGGCCGGCGTCCCCGCCCCGACATGCCCGACCTCACCTCTAACACCCCACAGGTATCACTCCACTCTATACTAATAATTAAATTCCATATCGATTTCATTACTATTTTTTTTTGTTAAACACAAAAAAGACGTTAATTTTTTCTGTATTTTTTTGTCACATTAGTTTCATATTGCAAACATTTGTAATTAATATTTAAATTGTTTGGTGGATTTTTTTATTTACATAAAAAATCATAAAAAATCTGTCAACACAGATTTTTTTTAACATTTTTTGTATATTTTTTATAATTTTTAGTGCTTTCCTATACGACATGATCATATAGACCATTGTATCTAAAAAAAATTATAAAAAAAACTCTTGTTTCGATGTTTTGTGCTTGTTATAAATTATATGTTGTGTTCAGCAGCCGCCCGACGTGCAGCCCACTTTGTCATACAAATCGAAAGAGGGATCCTCATTTAAAAAACATAATACTGACAATCTAGATGAACAGGTAACATTTTTTGTTTTAATTATTTTAACCGATTATATTTTTTTTATATCATAAGGGGACAAAAAAAGTAAGGACCCTGATTTGGAATGTGTTAACTTGTCGAAGGAGATGCAGAGGAAAGGAATATTTCCTACCTTCGTTAAATTCAATTTTCCCATCGTTGTAAAGCATAATATGGAATTGCTTTTAATTATCGTGTATTTTCTATCTATTCTTTTAATATGAGCGATTTTTTTTTTCCAAAAATCATATTCTCAAGTGTTTGCAGGCTTTAATGCAAATAGCAAGTGAAGCGTTCGTAAAGGAATTGGGTCTGGAAAATGATAATTTAGTACGCGGTAATGTACAAGTACGGGATCTGCCCGCGGGAACATATATCATGAAGGAAGAGAGTCATAAGGTAAACTATTATATGATTTTAATTTGCTTTTAACTATTTAAAGTGTCAATTGTCGAAAAAATTAAAAAAAATGTATAGCTTTTCAGTTTTTTTAAAGATTTTTTTTGTGCAATTTGCTTTTTTGACAACTTACGTTACGAGTAAGAGACAATACGATAATGTCTGCTCTAGTTTTCTGCATAATCTGTGTTAATTTTTCGTGTTTGTTTGTTTAAAAAATTTTATTTTGTTCGTTCCAAAAGCTGTATTATTGTATCGAGGGTGAGCCAGAGATAGTTCAGGTATCTGTTTTGCGCGTTTTTTTTTTGAGAGTGATAATTTTATTACTTTAAATTTGGCATTTGTATCTTTTATAGTCTATTTTAAAGTCTTGCAAACAATAAAATGTAAATAACTTCGAAGTGATATTTGTTTTAAATTATAATTTCATTTTATTTTATTCGAAATAATCATTTAGTGGTCTGAAAGATATTATAAGCATAGATACACTTTCATACATTTTATTGGAAAATTCATTTCAATCATGTATGCTTTTAAGGCTGCATGTTTTTATGAAATGTATGTAATTCTCAGCCATTTTTTTTAACAAACACAACACCTCGTATGAAAATTTTCATTTTCGCTGTCAATATCAATCTCTAAATCAAAACAACAAATGTTTTTTTCTTATTAGTGTTCTACCAAAACACTATTACAAATATAGTTACCAACACCAAGCGTATAAATACGAAAACACAGACGATTTGAGTACCTCCTTCCTTTTGGAAGTCGGTCAAAAATAAAAATTGAACCTTATTTCAATCGGCATAAAGCTCAAAATTTCCTAAATCTACTCTGTTCTACGCTTCAGTCTATTTAAATGGATTTTAAATTTGTAAAGATGGCATAAAATGTTTAGATTTTTTACATCATTGTTAATGATTTTTTTTTCTAAAATTATATTTTTCTGTACAATTAATTGGCAATTATTTATCTAGGATGTGGCATTAGTGTACCTCCTATCGGGGGCGTTGCTAGTGTCGCAGAAGGTGGCAGAAGGCGAAGGGGAGGTGCATATGTTTACTGCGTACCCAGGTGAGTAAATATTACCTGTATCTATACTTCTATACTATTATAATAAAGCGTAAACACACGCTTCTTTGTTGCCTAAGATGTCAGCAATTACAGCATATTATTGAATAATTCCTTTTTTAATAAAAAACTCTACACTTATGTCACGCTTTAGGCTATATATATTTTCACGCCATTAAACTTAGGAGGTAAATAACTTAGAAATAACCGTAATGCGGGAAAGAGACAAAAACTACAAGCTGACAACATTAAAGAAGCAAAAATCTATGGTTTCGGTAATTGTTATCCAATATCAAAGGCATTTGGAATTTGAACATTTATTCGACATTTGCAATTGAAATATTTTTTTTATTAAACACGAATGAAGCCGTACAGCAAAAGTTATAGCATAAAATGTTCCTCCAGGTGAAGTGGAAGGTGGTCTAGCGGTGTTAACAGGAGAGCCGAGTTTCTTCTCGATTAGAGCCAAACATTTCTCTCGTATCGGATTGTTGTCGAAGACAACCGTGTACAGCATCATGCGGGAGCGGCCCTCGGTGGTGCTGCACATTGCCAATACTGTCGTCAAGAGATTGTCACCTTTTGTGAGACAGGTTGACTTCGCCTTGGATTGGGTAAGATTGCCTATCTTACTATTGTAAATGTGAATGTTTAGATGGATGGATGGATGTTAGAGTTTGTAGCCTAAACTGTTGAACGAATCTCGATGAAATTTGACGTAAATGTAGAAAATAGCCCGGAAGGACACATAGGCTATTTACTTTTGGATTTTTTAATTACGAAAGCTAATAATATTTTGAATGCGAAAGTTTAGATTGATGGATGGATGTTTGTTATAGTTTGTAGTCTAAACGGCTGAACAGATTTCGATGAAATTTGGTATAGATGTAGAGGGTAGTCTGGAAGAACACATACGCTACCCACTTTTTTTTAATTCGAAATTCTATATTTAATAGTGTTTGTGTTTAGTGAGTCCCTTAAGAACCCCCTAAGGTATAACTATTTTTGCTTTTTTTTTAAATTGATAAAAATAGTTTTTAATTTCAAACTTCAATATGGATTTTTTTACTATTGATTATATGTTTGTTGAATTTTTAACTTTTTTATCGATTAGTTATTTGAAAAACGTAATTTTTAGGTATTCCTGGAGTCAGGTCGTGCGGTGTACCGCCAGGATGAGGAGTCAGGGTCCACATTCATAGTACTGAGTGGTCGCCTCAGATCTGTAATCACACATCCTAATGGCAAAAAAGAGTTGGTAGGAGAGTACGGGAAAGGAGATCTGGTGGGAATTGTAAGTAAAAAAAAATGAAAGTGACTTTACAATCATATTTTGAATGAAATATGTAGTATAAAGTATTATTAAAGGTTTTCGAAGTTACGTAATCAAATCACTAAATAAATGATGTCCCTCTTATTTTTAACATTTATGGTAATTATAGGTTAAATTTTTGTTAGTACATTTTATATGGCTACTAAAAGGCTAACCTATTTCAACCAAAATGTAGTATGCATTGATCTGTACTGATATTATAAAAAGGAAAGAATTGTATTTTTATTGAATTAATTCAAAAACAATTGAGCCCATTTAGAAAAAAATAAAATTAAAAATCTATGTTATCAGTGAGTAACATAGGCTATATTTTTTTATTTCACTCGCGAGCTACTAATTTATAAAAGTAACCAGATTGCTGCAAAATAGCGTAAAAGGTTAAAAAATATTCCAATCACAACTTGCATTTCTAATTCTATAAATTGACCCTTGAGCACATAGTAATAGTATACTGGTCGTGGTTCAGGTGGAGATGGTGACGCAGACGCGCCGTAGTACCACAGTTATGGCGGTCCGAGACTCCGAGCTCGCTAAGTTACCTGAAGGTCTCTTTAATGCTATCAAG